TCATGAACGAAGGAAATGATATATAACAAAGTTTTGGAGAGATGGATTCAATACAATATTCTGACATTTTTTCAGAAAGCAATTCAATAGAAAAGTCGGTTTTGAAAAGTTTCCATTCGCATAACCATTATTAATTTCACATTTTGACTGCTCGATTTAACTGTTGAAACGAAGGATTTAAAGATGAGATGTCCATTTGAATATAAATCATTATAGCATTCAATGTTTTAAGCTGCTGATTGATTGCTATGAACACGTTATGGTTCACATTGATATCAGTTAACGACCACAAAATTAGTCCCCTTGCTGACGAACTTTTCATTTGTTGACTAAAGCCAATTCAACTGGATATTCAGTTATTACTCTCTTTCATTTCTTCATAGTTAACTTTTAAGTTTTTGTTTCCAAAGAAAACGATTCACTCAATAGAATATGGTAACTCCACGTTCTTAATAATTATTATTCTAATGCAAATCCTTTAGAGGTTTTCTCACGAAATAAAACTTCATCAGAATCACTTTAAGTGATGTCGGGATCATTTTTTAAATGAATAAGCGGTAATTCAGTGCGACGAAATGATAGTAATTATTTGACTGCAGACAATTTCGCCTCTTGTTTCAAGCGTTGACTGTGATTTATGGGGCTGTTTTATGCATGTGAAATGAATTCGAAACAAAGATTAATGTAGTGATAGATCAGTATGATGGGAATACACGTATAAAGTAACCCGTATTATGAGATAAAGCACTTAGATTTTTTATCAGTTATCGTTATGTTTCCTAAAGAGAGCGATAAAGATCGATTATTTTTTATCACACGAAATCGATTATTCTCAGTTATCATCTCTCATAATCAGTATTTTTTGACACACAAGTGATTCATCAATAACTTAACGTGCATTTCTAATAATTCATCTTCAGAGACACTCAAAAAAGAATATACATTCTCATGGAACTACAATAAAAATTCGTCTATTAGCATAAATCACAACTTAAGACCGAATAAAAAGTTATGAAATTTTACAAAATGGTGATTTTAGCGAGTTTCAGTGGCGAAGGGCCAACGAATGCCATCCGATCTGAAAGCCATATTAAAGAAGCTCGCAGAGAAAGTGCATCAATTCAATCTGCAATTCCGTCACAAGCGTTGAATGATCAACGTAACGCCACGTTCAAAAAAGCACCAATTATTCGCACATCTGCCTTTACGATACCAATCAATCAATCGACTTCATCATCCATTCGTCATTACCATCTACGGAATCAACAACAACATGCTCACTTACCCAAACCTAAGTTTATCATTAAACCAAAGTCAGTATTTATTCCAGCTAAACATCACATACGAATTCCATTCAACTATCAATCACGCAATCGAACTTTTGCACCACTGAATCCTCGTAAAGTGATTTTACACCGTTCACTGAATAGAAAATCAACACCAACCAATATAACATCACCTTTAAGACCTTTCAGATTACGTTTGCATAACCATAAGAGGTTCTCCAGCAATAACAAATAATAACAACACTGACAAAAGTAATACTAATTCTAAACTGATAATAATAATAATAATATCAATGATAATAATATTCATCTTTGATTGCATGTGAGATGCTATAAAACTGGATGAATGACTTCTGTTTAATGCATCGATCTTTATACTGTCGAATAATCTGATGTTAAATTCGAATATTTCGATTAAAATTCATAATTCTATAGTCACTCATGTAATCATTTGTGCATATGTGTGTAGATGCAGTAAATTATTGCTCTATAAGGCAGTCAGAACTTCTCCAAATTTGAATATTTATAAAATTCGAAATTCTTTTGAGACGTCAAAGTTGATTTCGAGTATTTCAACACTGTTGTATTGAAGGCATTTTTATGAATCATTTGACAATCGGACCAACTTTTTGAATTAAAAAATATCAATTTTGAAGCAAATTATTCATATCAAAAAATTGGTTCATCGAAATAGAAAAGCAACTGGAGGGTAGGTATGTTTTTATTGCCGTTATTGTTCACTAGAATTATAATGAACTGGTTTCTTAACAGATTTATTATAATTACTATTATTTATTGCGACTGGAGTGTAATTCGATGAGAAATATAACTCATCACTCCACTCATTCGATTAAAAATACACACACGCATACACAAAAAAAATTTTGTGGGCGATCAGATAAGAGGGAGAAAAGTGATCTAGTAGAAATTATCGAAGTGAATATTATTACAGGAGATTAATCTTCAACGACGTGTAGACAGCTGATAGTTTGAGAAAATTTCAGATACAATCTTCTCAAAATTTACACCCTTTCATGCTTGCAGACATTTTTTGAGGGAAACTTCATCGTGAGACACGTAAATATATACGCACACAATATGCTTATATTAGGCTCCAGAGTATATTATGAGAATTGACGAATTCATTGTAGTGATCAGATACTATTAACTAGTCAAATATTATTACGAAATATGAGCTCTTGTGATGGACATTCCACTGAAATTAAACGAGTGCAACATTTTTGATTCATTCATAATATCATTCAATATTTTGAACCGGTCGACTGAATCAAACATTTCACGATTTATATCGATATTATCCAACGAGTGAAAAGGCAATTCGTAAGCAGTAGATAGCAATAATAATATCTGATCACATTTTTTTAAAAATATTTTTATACGATAAATATGTGATGTACAACGATTATCACGAAATACTCCAAAAGTGATTTTTGTGCGTGCTTGTTGCATTACTTGTAAATAATTCGTATCATAAGAACTTATGCTGTGTACAGATTGTTTTATTTGTAAATTTGTTATATTGCGTTGAATGAATGGCTTTTATTATACTCGCTATCTGTCGCAACAAAACAGCTGTGCTAAAGCAGTAATATTCGTATGATGAAAATGTTTCAGACGACAAAATATCGCAAGTTTAAGAGTGAAGAATTTAAGAAGTGGTGCAGAAATTCGCTAGAGAATAGTTTCACAGTTTCGTTGCTGACAAGTTAAATTATTGCAGTAATGATTGGGCAGAAAATGTTTCAGCATTGTGGATTCCCACACTGCCTTATTATTATTATTATTATTATTATTATTATTATTATTATTATAACTATTACTAATTGTATAATCATCTATCAGTAATAGTGACGGTCGGTCACTATTAATGATAGATAATGATCGGTCACTATTAACTGACGGTCGGTCGAAAAAATCTGATAATTTCGGTCGGAATTGCGACATTCGTTTTCCAACCGAACAATTTGGAAAGTCGGTCGAAATGACGACAGTCGGAATGATGAAGAATCATGTGAGTGCCATCACTAATCACCAATAAAAATATCAAGAATTCTGCATTGTTCTCAATCAGATAAAAGATCATTTTTGATGATAATTTGTATTCAAATTGAATGGATTCTCATGACAAGAGAAGAATATTTCGTTTTTTTGCAATACCAAAAAAGAGTTGACCAAAAAAGTGAATGATCTCCATCAGTCAAACGAATGCGTTTCGCAATGAAAATAACTTTTTGTTGCCTAATTATATTGAATCAGAATAATAAAACGAACTGTTATGGTGAGAAAATACTTTCAAACAATTTCGTTGAAATTAGAAAATCGCTGCCCTTTGCGTCTTCGTTAGGTGTTTTTACAGGAAAGAAAATAATTTACTTCATACTGCGTGAAGAAGATATTCAATGTTTATGAATCTTTGGAAGCATTCATCAAACTCAAATGATTTCTCTGATTTAATCACACGTTGTAAATTAGATGAAATTTTATTATCTGCAAGAATAACCTCAAGAAAACAATTCTTTTCAGTAGATATAGACTTCTCAGGCAAACAATCGTAAGAAGATGATTTGATTGCATTTTATAGATTGATATTGTTATCAACGTTATCAAACGCTAACAACTGACTCGAAGCTTTCAGTTACGACAGAAGAAAAATATCATTTCCCAAGAAGAGCGTACTCATGCAATGAAATTTTCTCAAGTATTGCACAGAGCACAAGCTTTTTGGAAATTTTCTCGTCATATATTCAGTACCAAATTTTTGACTATTGTTGAGAGAAGTTGAACAGTTGAACATATAGTTTAAAATAAATCAAAGATAATAGATGCAATTTACATCCTATACAAATACACCATGAAATTGTTTACCAAAACATTTACCAAAACGCATCCTTGTTACCGTTATTATTATTGCTAATGGCGTTCTTATTTTTACAGCTGTTGTTAAAACTGTTTTTAAGAGTGTTCAGACCAGTTATGCAATGATATTTCGCTACATTTTTCTTTTTAAAATGAAGGAAGAGAAAAATCGTCAAACATTATATATATATATATATATATATATATATATATATATATATATATATATATAT